GGGCTTTGCCCTTAGAAAACATTACTTCCACCTAAATCAGACTTTCTCCCACATACATCATACCATTTCCCTGCTATTCTCCCAAAATCCATATGTTCCCCATGTAATTCCACTGGAGTCATTCCCTTTCACCCATTTCACCATGAAAGCCCAGGAGAAGACACATCCATTTTTAGGTAACCAAGATAATGGGAACCCCAAATTTGGTGGGTCACACCCCAAAATCAATATAATTGAGTGGGATTTTGGGGACAGTTCCCAAATCCTGATTTTCCTACAGGATCCCTGTTCTATCCCTATGGACCACACCAGGGGGATAAAACCAACCTCAAACTGAATGATGGGACATCTGAGGCAATTGCCCTCTCTATCCCTTCACCTTCTGTGTCAAAACTTACCAAACTGTGTTTGTAGGCCACCCCAAATTCCATATTTTTGGGAATTTCCTCTATTTTTCCAAATTTCCCCTCAATTTCTACTTCATTTTTCATGTGTGTGTGTGTGTGTGTGTGTGTGTGTGTGTCTCTGAAATGAACCCTTCTTGAATCCATAGTGGGTTTTATACCTGGACGCTGAAGCATCTTCAGATGGGTAGGGGATCTTGAGAGGGGCTGGTGGTATTGGGGGGGGGTTGGAGGGACTTGGGAGGATCTGTGGATGGTGGGTGATGATGTGGTCCTTCATGGTCATATGGCTGGTGGTCTTGGGGCAGTTGGTTGGTTTTGGGTGGTCCCCCACATGGTGGGTCTTGGGGTGTGTTGTGGGATCACATGGGTGATCCCACAACAAATTTTGTAAGGGTCCTTCATGAGTGGGTCTTGGGGGGATTGGTGGGTGTTGTGGGATCCTATGGGTGGTGGGCTGTGGCAGGGCCCTGGGGGTGGTTGCTGTTAGAGGGTTCTATGGATCTGCTAATTGGGGTTGTCCTGTGGGTGGGGTATCTTGATGGATCTTGAGGGGTTCTTTGGGGGTTGGGGGGTCCTGTGAGTTGGGATTCCTTTGGTTGGTGGGTCTTGGGGGGGGGTCCTGTGGGAGGTGGATCTTGGGGTGTTGATCGGTGTTGGGAGTCCCTATGGGTGGTACTTCTTGTCATGCTTTTAGGGTCCATCTTAAGGACCCCACAACCCAAGTCAAAGTATTGGACCCACCTGCTCCAGGTGAACAACAATGGGGTGATCTCCTTTGATGAGCCCATCAGACAATGCACCCCTGACTCCTTCCCTCAGGTGAACAGGCACCCTTTTGTGATCCCATTCTGGGCAGATGTGGACAACGTGCTGGGTGGGGACATTTTCTACCACCAGACCACCGACCTGGCACTGCTGGAAGACATAAACCAGCACATAATCCAGTCCTTCCCCAAAAGCCTCTTCACCCCCACCTGGGCCTTTGTGGCCACCTGGGACCATGTGGCCTACTATGGCTCCACCTCTGAAAAGGTGAGGCCCATGGTCCATGGGGCATGAAGGTGACCCATTGGCTCTTGTTGACCCATTTGGTGGCCTTGTTTACCGACCTATCTTTGACATCCAGAACCCATCCGTGACCTTCATAACTCATCCTTGATCTCTGTGATCTTTCTCCTTTGGGATAGGCAACACCTTCCAGGCTGTGCTGACCACTGACTCCAAGATGTTCTATGTCATCCTTAACTACTGGGACATCCAATGGACTACAGGGGCAGTGAGTGATGGAGACGCTGAAACGGGACTTGGAGGGACCCCAGGACATGTAGGTGGAGAGGGTGGAAGAGGAGGGGGAGGTTGTCTCACTCCATTTTCTGAGGATGATGATGATGAAGGTCAGGGATTGGCCCACACCATTTTTGGGGAGGTCATGTTGCCCTGTCCCATCTTCTGGAGATGATGATGATGGTCAGAGGTTGGCCCATCCCAAATATTTGAGATTATAATGATAATAGTGATGATTGATGATGTGATGATGGTGATGATGATGAAGATAGGAGGTTGTCCACACATCTTCTAGACATGATAAATAGTAATGACAATGATGATGATGATGATGATGATTGATGATGATGATGATGATGATGATGATGATGATGATGATGATGATTGATGATGATGAAGACAGGAGGTTGTTCACCCTTCCTCTGGAGATGATCATGATAGTGATGGTCATGGATTGGTCCATATAATTTCTGGGTGACAGCAAGTATATTTTCATCCTAAAATCATTTTAGGGGCCCACTACCCCTTTGGGTGGGGTCAGCCCTCCTAGATTCCCCCCCCCTCCCTCCCAATTTCTTAGGCAGGATTCAAAAGTGGTGATGACACCAACTTCTACAACATTCCTGGATCCCACACCAATGACATCATCAACATCACCCCCACCTCCAACATCAAGTCCCAGGGACTCTGGGTCTTTCAGGTGGGTGACTTCCAGGTGACAGGTGTGGATCCTCCCCAGCTGAACAACACCTGCTGGTTGTAAATTGGAGGAGAAAATTGGGAATTTGGAGGAAAAGTGGGAATTTTGGGAATAAATTCAGGAATGAGTGGGGAAAAGTGGGGATTTTGGGCAATAATTTGTAGCTGTGGGAAGATCACTGTGAATTTAGGGGGAGATGGGAATTGTTTGGGAAAATTAGCAATCTGGGGGGAACTGAAGGCATCTTGGTTGGAATATTGAGAATTTAGGGGCATTAGTAACTGGAGAAAATTGGGCTTTTGGGGAACAATTGGAAGTTTGTTGGGGAAAGGTGGGAATTTTATGGGATAATTTGTGAGGGAAATACGGATTTCTGAGGGGAATATTGGGATCTTTTGGAGGAGTATTGGGGATTTTGGTGGAAAGTGGCTCATCCTCTTGGGATGTTGATATCCTCTCTAGGTGAATTGAAGGGAGTGGGGCAGAGGGACATCACCACTGCCACTGTTATCACCGATGAAGTCAAGATCAGATCATGCCAGCTTCTAACAGAGCAATAAAATTGCAGCTAAGACATTGCAGTGTCCATGTCATTGTCTTGGTATCCATGATGACGTCATCAGACTTAAGTTACCATCACCCTCACTGTTCCCACAGTTGCTGGGGTTCTAAGGGGTTTTAGGGTGAAATGTGACAGAATTAATCCAATTTTGCCTTTTTGGGTGGCAATTTCTGGGGCCTTGAGCAATATGAAGTTATGATGGCAGCCATATGCACAGCAGACAAGGCCCAGAACAGACAGCCTAGCACACACCCCCAAAATGCTGCACCTTCAACACACTTGGACATCACAAGACACAAAAAACATACAAGACACAACTTTACCCCTCCCCACCCTTGATTTCTACTCACAGAACCACAGGATCATTAAGGCTGGAAGATACCTCCAAGATCCTCAAATCCAACTTTTGACTGAACACCCCATGTCAAGCAGACCACAGCACTGAGTGCCATGTCCAGATGTTTCCTGAGCACTCCAGGGATGGTGATTACACCACCTCCCTGAGCAGGCATTCCAAAGCCCAGTCACCCTTTCTCTGAAGAAATTCCTCCTGATGTCCAGCCTGAACCTCCCCTAGCACAGCTTGAGAGCATTTCATTTGTCCTGCTGCTGGTTGTCTGGGAGAAGAGATTCTCTCCCACCTGGCAATAACCTCTCTTCCAGGTAATTCTAGAAAGTGGTAGAGTCACCCCTAATCATCCTTTTCCCCAGGTTGAGCCTCCTAAGCTCCCTCAGCCACTCCTGGTTCTTCAGACCCTTCCCCAGCTCTGTTCCCTTCTCTAGACTTCCTCTAGCCCCTCAATGTCTTTTTTGCCATGAGGGACCCAAAACTGCCCCCAGGATTCGAGGTGTGGCCTCAGCAGTGCCCAGCACAGAGGGCAGTCACTGCCCTGCTCCTGCTGCTACACCATGGCTGGGACAGCCCAGGGGCCATTTGCCTTCTTGGCCACCTCGAGCACCTGGCTCAGGTTTTGCTGCTGTCATGAGCACCCCCAGGGCAGCTTCCCAACCACTGTGCCTCAGCCTGGAACTGCAGAGGTTGTTGTGACCCAAGGGCAGGACCTGGCACTTCCCCTTGGTGCACCTCATGCCATAGGCCTGGGCCTAATGATCGCATGCATTCCTCAACCCACAAAATGCATTTTTTTAAAAATCCATCCCTTCCTCCCCTTCCCTTTTTTCCCTTTTCCCTCTTCTTTTTTTTTTTCCCAAATCACACCCTCTATTTCTCAAAAACTACACTTTTTTTGCTCCATCACCTCCTTTTCATTGTGTAATAATTTAAACCACATTGGGAAAAAACCTTGATATCCCGTAATGCCAATTTTTGACATCAGTTTTAACAAAAAAACCCTGTTTTTCCTCTTGTTTTCACCTTTTCTGGCCAAAAATTATCTCACGTCATTGGTGGGGTGGTCCCCTGGGGGTGCCTGGATTAGTAATTTTCTTTCCACTTTTTCTGCCAAAATTAAAAAATAATTGAGGGAGGAGCTAGATCTGCTGTCCTGGGATTGTGATTTCTTCACAGATTTGGGGATAAAACGGAGCTCTTTGGGGATACAGAGTGAAGCTGGGGACCAAACAGGGCCAAAGACAGGTAAGGACAAATGTATATCTAATAACTGATTATTTTTCACCAGGAAAGATTTTCCATATTGTGGGAAAATCCATCTGAAGACTCCTCAATTTCCCCCTTTTCTCCTTCCCACCCCCCCCCCCCCCCCCCCCCCCCCCCCCCCCCCCCCCAAGTGCTATGTGTGTGATAGGTAGACAGAAAACAAGAAATAGTTTACTTGTTTGCCTTAAAAAACCCCAGTGATCCTGGACATAGTAAATACACAAAAGTATACTTTCTTCAAAGACTTCACTGAAAGCCTGCTGAAGTATATGTTCTCTCCTGAACTGCCTCCCAGGTTCACTGGGAGGTGAAGTAAATTGCCCAAACTGAGTCTTTCATGACTTCACTGTTAAGTTCAAGCTTTCCCAGGTCAAAAGCCAGTTCATGGCAACTAAGTAGTTGCCAGCCCCTTTTCCTCTCTCCCTGTATNAAAAAAAAAGGAGCAAGAGTGGGATACAGGTAAAAGGGAAAAAAGGGAGAAAAAGCAAAAAAGGGGAGGAAAGGAAAATCAGGGAAAAGGCAAGATAATAGGGAAAATATGGGAAAGGGGGAATAAGCAGAAAAAAAGGGAAAATAGTGAGACAAGAGAAAAAAGGGTAGGAAAAGGAAACAGGAGAGGGAGAAGAAAAGAAAAATGAAGGAAGTGGGGAGAAAAAGGGAAAAGGGGGAGGAAAGGATAAAAGGGTAAAGAAATGAAAAATGTGGAGGAAAGCAGTAAAAAGGAGGGAGAGGGAGAGAGGGATAGAAAAGGGAATAAGATGAAGTAATGGAAAAACAAAAGGGGGATTTGGATCAAAAAATGGGATTTGGGGAAAAGAGGAGAAAATGGAAAAATTAAGCAAAAGAAGGAATGGAGAAAATAAGGAAAAAATAAAATTACAAAAAATAGGGAGAAATAAAAGGCAAAGGGAGCAAAAGAGGAAAGAAAAAACAAGGAAAGGAGATTCAAAGGTACCTGGGATGGTGGGGGAAGACAAGTGGAAATACCCCTCCAAAAGCCAATTTTTGCACCAGGTGCAATAAAATTCACATTTTTGAGTAAATGCAATTTAAGTAGTGAATTTGTGGATAACTTGAATGTGAGCAGATTTTGGGGACGAATTAACTACAACACTGGTTTTTGGGATGACTTTTTGGCTGAAACATACAGATTTTGGGGATTTGTGTGAGTTTTATGTCAAGAAATGGTGAATTTTGGGAAAATTCTAGTGAATTTCAAAATTTAAAAAAAAATATGAGAATTTGACTGTTTTTTCACCTTTTGCACCTAGAGCATCATGGATGGCAGCTTGGGAAAAGCAGATGTGCTGAGATGGTTCTGGATTGTTATGTTCTGGGGTAAGTTGAAACAGGTTGAGGAGATACTCCAAAAGCTATAAAATTCCCCTGAAATAATGAATTGCCTCAAAATAAGGTTTATCCAGCTCAGAAGCTGGATTCCCCAGCCTAAATGTTCCATCTTTTTCCCAGGGAATTAATTAGGGTTTCATCCCAATTCATGATTTTTCAAACTATTTTTTCCTGTGAATGTTGATCCAACAGATTAACCTAATGCATTAAATATTTTTTCAGAGTTTAGTCTCCCAACTGGAGCTTACTCTCCTAACTGGAGAATGAATGAGTTTATGAAAAATTAATCAAATCAATGATCAACTTACAACTCCATCAAATCAGTGATCTAAGAAATTAATAGTTCATAATATCAATCAAGTCCATCAAATCTGTAATCCATTAAGGCTATAATCTGTCAGATCAAGGTTAATTTAAATTTCTTCTCCAAAATAATATACCATCAAATCATATCCATAGTCCATAAATTCAATAAACCATCAAATAAAAAACAATGCCCAAGAAATTAACACTTCATAAAATCAACAGTCTGCCCAATAAAAAGTCTATCACTTTATTAATTGATTGACTCAAAAGTCAATTGGCTCAATAATCTATTGAATCAATAATCCATTAAATAAATTTTTCATCAAATCAATGGTCTAGCAAATGAAATCAAAGGTCTATCAGATTGAAAGTCCATAAAGTCAATAATTTAACTAATCATTAACCCATTAAATTAATAATCCATTAATCAATAATCTACCAAATTGATCCAGTTATCAAATCAGTAGTCCACTAAATCAATAATCCAGCAATTCTTGAAATCAATTGTCCATCAAACCAATTATCCATCTAACCAATCACATCTCTATCAAATCAGTAATCCATCAAATTAATAATCCATTAAATCAATAATCTATCAGATTACCCACCCCTCTTCTTCCTCCTCCCAGCTCTCTTCCATGCCCCCAGCATCATATCTGAGATGTCACCACCTCACCTGGGTGACGAGTTCCTGGTGGCCTTTCTGCAGAATGGTAACCAGCGCACTCTTCGCAGTGACTTCCGCCTCCTCCTCCTCACTGGCCCCTCCCCATCCACCACTGCCACCATCTCCATGAAGAAACCTGGATTACGGATGACAGTGCAGGCAGCTGCCAACCAACCAGTCCTGGTGAAGATCCCACCCCAAGCTGAGATGGTGGGAAGCCAAATTTTTGAAAATGCTGTGGTGGTGAAGACCACTGCTGCTGTCACCGCAGTGATGGTCAGCGAGAAACCCACAGCAGCTGACTCTGCCGTCATTATTCCAGTCCATAGGTGGGGGACGGAATACCATGTGGTCACCCCCAACCCCGGCCCCACCCGCAATGCCCAGTTTGTGGTGGCTGCTTGGGATCAACCCACCACAGTCAACATTCACCTCAATGCTGACATCACCTTCCGTGGACGGCTGTATCGACGTGGCTCCACCCTTACCATCCCATTGGAGCCGTTCCAAGCAGCACAGATCCAGAGTGCAGCTGATCTTTCCGGAACACGAGTGCTGGCCCAGAGACCAGTGGCCGTCTTCAGTGGTCACACTTGTGTGGGCAGGTTGAGCCGTTGCGATCATGTCGTGGAACAGCTACACCCTGTCACCCAGTGGGGAAAATCCTTCCTTGTGCCACCAGTGCCCTTCCAGGGGCAATCCAACCTTGTCTACATCACTGCTGACCAACCAACGCGTGTCACGGGTCATGGTGAAGTCACCAAGACCACGCGAGAGATACAACCCAACCACTCACTGCTCTATGGCACCCAATCCCCGCAGGGCTTGTTCCTCACTTCTGAAGCTGGTGTCCAGGTTTTTCTGTTGGGAAGTGGTGAGAACAGCGGTGCAGTAACCTTTGAGCCCTTTTTTGTCAGCATCCCGGACATAGCCAGTTACTGCAACTCCTACGGTGTCGTTGCACTGGAGGGATACGACAACCGCATCCTCCTGGTGGCCAAGACAGCAGAAACTTCTGGAATACTGCTGAACCAGAGGCCATTAGGGAGTGTGGCATGGCAGCTGATCCCTGGGACAGAATATTCATGGGTTGGGATAAATTTGGGAAGCGGATTTGGAATCCATCGTGTGGAGCACGAGACAGCAGCATTTGGGGTGTGGAACGTCGGGATGGGACAGGGGAAGCGCTATGGAGCAGAGGGGGCTTGCGACAGTGGTGAGTGGAGGTGGACTTTTATATTAATAAATTATATAGAATTATATAGATATCAATAACAGATATTTATATTTAATTATATTTAATTATAGGTAATCATACAAATGACAAATATCTATTAAATAAAAATAATAGCATTACATAATAATATTATTGTATTTTATATAACATTGCATGGTATTATATAATATTATAATGGAAATATTTAAAAAAAGTACTTATACACAAATATATAGGAATAATAGTAAAAAACTAAATGTAATATACTAAATAAATTAATAAGAATAAATGAAGAAATACATAAATACATAAAAATCCTCAAAATATAAGCATATAATATATAATAAATATCTAAGTCTAGATACAAATACAATAGATACATGTAATACCATATCTGTGACATTTATATTTATACATTCCTTTGAATCATATATATTTATTATATTTTAATAACTCTGTATGATGGAAATGCATAACTATTATGTGGATAAATAATTAATATCTAAACAAACATAGTGATGCTATATAGATATTTATAAATAATATAGAAACACTTACATGTAATTACAAATCAGATAGAAAAACATACAAAATATGTAACTAAATATACACTTAGACATATCAATAGTATAATAAATTAACGGAATTTAATCCTCTGTCACTAATAAACCTGCAGACCCCTGCCGGCAGGTGCAGTGCCGCCCTAAGGAGAGCTGTCACCTGGACAAGGGTGCGCCCACCTGCCGCCACGACTACCTGGGCACTTGCACAGGCTCCCCGTCCCTGCAGTATCACACCTTTGATGGGGCCTCTGTGTCCCCCCGTGGTGGCTGCAGGTACACCCTGGCCAAGTACTGCGGGGGTGACCCCACCCTGGAGCCCTTCATCGTGGAGGAGCAGCGGAGTCAGGATCATTCTGAGAAGCCATTGGCCAATGTCTACGTCTACACCTACAATGTCTCTATCCGTGCCGGTGAGGACAAGGCTGTCCAGGTGAGCTTCCCCAGGTGTCAGATCCATCATTCCCATAAAACCATTTGTTCCAAGTGGATTAAAATATTTGGGTGAGCTTGACCTTCAAAAAATCAGGGAAAACATAAAAAAAAAAGTGAGAGGGTAAATCATTGAAATTTTGATGTTCACCTTAAAAAATAAGTATAACCTGTGGAATTTGAGGAATTTTTTTCTATTCCAAATCAGTTTTCCAGGTGGAATGTGTTGTTTCCCAATCCTGGTCTCCATACAAACAAAATTAGCTCAGAAGATGTAGAAAATGGTTTCGATTTGGAGCTTGAGCTTTTCTTTGTGTGAACCTCCATGAAGTAGGGCAAAACTTCTGATTAATAATGAAAATTAATTATTTATGAAATAATTTCTCCCTTTGTTTGTACATATGTGCTTTTTGTGGGGTTGGGAACCACCTGCTGAGGTTTAACCTTCCTCCTCAAATTCCTGCTCCACAAGGTTAACAACAAGCCCACCAACCTTCCAGCCACCCTGGAAGAAGGAAAAGTCCGGATTTTCCAAAATGAGGGTCGTACCATCCTCCAGACAGATTTTGGGCTGCAGGTGACCTATGATGAGGACCATGTTATCATGGTGGCAGTGCCCAGCAGCTATTCTGGGGCCAGCTGTGGCCTCTGTGGCAACTTCAATGAGGATGCAGATGATGAAGCCATGGCTCCCAATGGTATTCCTGGTGAAGGTGGTGAGAATTGGGCAGAAAGCTGGAGACATCCCTCATGCCAGGAAGATTGTGGAGATCAGGAGACTGCACAGGGCATGGAGGGGTGTGGTGAGTTCATGTGGGGATCTGTGAGAATAACGGGGAAGGGAGAAGAGTATCCATGTAAGAAGTCAGCTATAGGTGTTGGCCTAGAGAAATGGTTGTAGACATCAACATATCAACAGTGTATCTTTTCACCCCAAAACATCGCAAAATCCATTTACCCACCTAATCTGACCCAAAATGTCCATAAATATGGTATTATAGCAGCATTTTCCTGAAGGCCATCCCTGCTTGATGTCTCATTGACTCTACAACCCTTGTGGGCGTGAACAAAACCAGTGGGGAAAGAATGACCCCAAAATCTGCCTGATCTCACTTCAGCTGCCAAAAGACCAGAGAAATGTGCTAAGAATTTTCCCGAGGGTTGTCTCTGTGGGGTGTATCTTGAACTCTGGTTTAGGTGTCAATGTAACCAACACCTCCATCACAGGGAAGGCTTGCATTAGTTGGTCTCCCTAAAATACTCCTAAACCCTCCTAATTTGACTTCAGGTGCCCACAACACATAGAATTCCACTGGGGCTTTCTTGAGGATCATCCCTGTGTGATGTGTGATGTCTCACAGACTCTTAAATCCCTTGTAGATATCAAGGCAACCACCAACCCTAGCACCACCATCTCTGCTTGTTTCCACAACAATCGCTCCTACAAGGTCCATGAGGAATTTTGGGACGATGGGAGCTGCCAGAAGCGGTGCCGGTGTGAGAGTTCAGGGACTGTGACTTGTAGGGGGGGATGTAGATCCCATGAGAAGTGTGTCACGGTTAATGGCATCGCCAGGTGTACACCCAACAAGCACTACACCTGCATTGGGACCGGTGACCCACACTACACCACCTTTGATGGGGTGAGGTTTGACTTCCAAGGCTCCTGCATCTACCAGTTTGCTGCCCTCTGCACCCCCAAGCCTACCCTGGTCCCCTTCAATGTTACTGTGGAAAACAACCATCGTGGCAGCCGTGCCGTGTCCTTCACCAAGACTGTCAACCTGGAGGTCTATGGGAGTGTCATCAGCATGAGCCAGGAGCACCCACGCAAGGTCAAGGTGGGCAACCCCTCAAGGAATCCCTTTCATCCCCAAATTACCTCATACCCACCTTTTTTTCCATTCTAATTACCTTTTTTCCCCAAAGTCTTCCTTTTTCCTGCCAAAGTACCCTTTTTTAATGCCAAATTCTCAATTCTCCATTTTCTCACAGATTCCCCATTTTTTTTACCCAAATCCCCCTCTCATCCCTCAAATACTCTTTATCTCCCCAAATACATTTTTTTGCCAAGTATCCCTTTTCACCTTTGGATTCCCTCCTTTTTCCCCAAATTGCTCTTCATTTGCCTCCAATTTGCCTTTTCCCAAAAAAATTCTCCAATTTTCCCTCAAAATTGTTCTTTTTTCCTTCAAAATCCCCTTTTCACCAAAAAGTTTAATTTCCTCCCCTAAAATGCCTCTTTGTCTGCAAATTCTTCTCTTTTTCTGCTCAAATACCCTTCATTTCACTCAAATCCTCCTTTTATCTCTCAAATACTACTTTTTCCCCCCAAATCACCTCTTCCTCTAAAAAAGCCTATTTTCTCAATCCTCATAGTTCCCCCAAATCACTTGTTTTCCCTGAAATTCCATTTTGCCTCCCATTCTTTCCCTTTTTTGTGCCTTGATTTCCCAACAAATCTTCCTTTCTCCTCTAAATCCAACTTTTTGTTGCAAATTCCCTGTTTTTCCACCAAATTCCTATTTTTCCCCAATTTTTACCTCAAATTACATTAAATATATAATACATTGAAACTGAATTAAAATATAAAAATAATTCAAATACAAATACAAAAGCAAGTAAATAAGAATAAAAAGCATAAAGATAAAAAATGAAATCCAGTTAAAAGTCAATGAGAAGAAATAAATACAAAAAGAAAGAATAGAATTAAAAATATAGGATATATTAAGATAAAATTGTAATAAAAATAAAAATAGAAAAATAAAATAAAACTATGATTTCAAACCTCTTTTCTCCTTTCTCCACTCTCTGTCTCACTCCTCTTCCTGCAGGTGGATGGTGCCTTTGTGTCCCTTCCCTTCACCCACCCCCACTTTTCCGTGTTCTACCGTGGCGTTCATGGCTTTGTCACCACTGACTTCGGTGTCACTGTCACCTTTGACTGGTACAGCTACGCCCGTGTCATCCTCCCCACCACCTACTCTGGTGCTGTCTGTGGCCTCTGCGGCAATGCCAATGGTGACCCTGATGATGACTTTGTCACCCCAGCTGGCCACCGTGCCTCCCATGAGACCCAGCTAGGTGACAGCTGGAAAGTGGGGGATGTCCCTGGGTGCTCAGCTGGTTGTGGCTCAGAGTGCCCGGTGTGTGACGCGGTGAATGTGCAGCCATACCGTGGGGACAGGTACTGTGGGGTGATCGCCCGAGCAGGGGGACCCTTCCGGGAGTGTCACGGTGTCATCAACCCAGAGCCATTCCTGCAGGACTGTGCTTTTGATGCCTGTCACTACAAGGGACATCGCGACACTGTGTGTCAGGGTGTCTCTGCCTATGTCACCACATGCCAGAGTCATGGGGTGGCTGTGGAGATGTGGAGAACAGCGGAGTTCTGCGGTGAGTGTGGGCAGTATGAGGGGAAATGGGACCCTCCCTTCCCTCCCTCTCCCTTCCCTCCCTCTCCCTTCCCTCCCTCTCCCTTCCCTCCCTCTCCCTTCCCTCCCTCTTCCTTCCCTCCCTCTCCCTTCCCTCCCTCTCCCTTCCCTCCTCCCTCCTTTTTTCCTTGAGTGACTCCCGTTCCCTTTGGATATTCCCCTCACTCTTTATTTTCTTCTTTTTTTTCCCCAGCTCTTTCCTGCCCCCCTCACTCCCACTATGAGCTCTGTGGGAGCCCCTGCCAGCCCACCTGCCAAACTCCCTCAATTCCCACCTCCTGTCCTGCATCTCCTTGCTCCGAGGGCTGTTTCTGCGACACCGGTTATGTCCTCAGCGGCTCTGACTGTGTCCCCCATTCTGAGTGTGGCTGTGAGTACCTTGGTCGCTACTACCAGAAGGATACCGAGTTTCACCCCTCATGCCGGGAACGCTGCCGCTGCGGTGCCAATGGTACAGTGACTTGCCAGGAAGCATTCTGTGGTGCCCATGAGGAGTGTCGGGTGGAGGATGGCATGTTGGGATGTCACCCCACTGGTTACGGCCGGTTGGTTGTGTCAGGAGATCCCCACTATGTCACCTTTGATGGACGCAGCTTCAATATCCCGGGATCCTGCACCTACGTCCTGGCACGAGTGTGTGAGCCAGCACGACGATTGGTCAACTTCACAGTGTTGGTGGAGCATGAGGCAGGCAGTCATAGCGACCCAGTGCTGATGAAGAGGGTAGTGGTATCCATCCATGGGTACACCATCACCATGGAGCGGGGACGGAGGTGGGAGGTGACGGTAAGTCTGGAGGTCTCCACAGTGATATGGTGAAGATGAAGGGGATTGTGGTGTCCATTCATGGGTTCAATGTCAATCGTGGAGAGGATCCAGTGATTCCCATGCTGACACCATGATTATAAGGAGGGTGGCTGTTTCCCTCCACAGCTACACTGTCTCTGTGGTGTGGGGTCTAGTGACTCTACTCTGAAGTGTCGCACATGTCACTCTATCCCCATTCCAGGTGGACTTGGAGCGCTACACCCTCCCACTGGTGACAGAGGACAAGAACCTTCGCATTGGCCAAGAGGGAAATAACATCATCCTTCACACTGCCGCAGGAATCCGCATCCTCTACAACACAGCCACCTTCCTCCTCATCACTGTCCCGGACATCTACCGTGGTCGGCTGTGTGGCTTGGGCGGTGACTATGATGGGGACCCCAGTGATGACTTCCGGCTGCCCAGCGGGGCACTGGCAGAAACCACCCAGGAATTTGTTACCTCCTGGAAGGTTCCAGAGAAGGACAGAACATGCAGTGATGGCTGTGATGGCGGTGTGTGCAGCAGGTGTGATGTCACCAAAGAGGCGATGTACAGCAGGAACGGATCCTGTGGGATCATCCGTGATGCAGAAGGGCCATTCCAGGGGTGCCACCCACATGTGAGCCCCGTGGAGTATTTCACCCACTGTGTCCATGACGTCTGTGCCGCCAGCGGGGACCGCACCGCCCTGTGCCACTCACTGCAGGCATATGCCACTGCTTGCCAAGCCGCTGGTGCTATGGTCAGATCGTGGAGGACAAAGGAGTTCTGCCGTAAGTAAGGAAGAATTTTGCCACTTCAGGTCCTTTATCCACAAAAGCACAAAACCTACATTTTTCTCCTGGAAAAAAAAAAACAAAAAAAACCAAAAAAAAAACAACACACTAAAATCTTGGAGAAAAAAATCCCTCAGGTTCTGGAAAAATAGTTTTGGAAAGAATTTCCCCCAGCTGGGGAAAATTTTCCTCATTTTGGAAAATGTTGCCTCAATTTTTGAACAAATTCCCCTGCATTTCAAAGAGATTTTCACATTTTGCAAAAATTCCTTCAAGTTTTAGAAAATATTCTCCAATATTAAAAAAAAATGTAAAAAGTGAGAAAAAACAAATTTCAAAAAAGCCTTCAATTTTTGAAAGAATTCACTGAGATTTTAGAAACATTCTCTTCTGTTTTGAAAAAAACATCCTCCCTTCATGGAAAAATTCCTTTAAAATTTTGAAGTTCTCTCTCAAATTTGATTTAAATCTTTCAATTGTGAGAAAGCCCTCAAAATCTGAAAAAAATTGCTCACCATTTTTAAAAATTAAGTAATTTTGAAAAATTCCCTTCAGTTACCCCGTTCAGTTTGGAAAAAAAAAAAAAAATTGCAGAAAACCTTCCAATTTTCCTAAAACCATTCCAATTCTGGAAAAAAAAAAGGCCAAATTTCCTGAAGAAAAAAACCCAATATCCTTGAAGAATCTGGCCATTTTGGTAAAGTTAATAACATTTTACTGTAAACATTTGAAGATGGAGAAATAACACCATTGTGGAAGGATGCCCTCAAATTAAAAAAAACCCAAAAACCAGCACACAGAAAAAAACCCATGTTTGATGGAAATGCCGAAAGTAGGAAAACATCTCCCATTTGGAAAAGACTCTGTCAAATTAAAAACAAAACAAAACAAAACAAAACAAAACAAAACAAAACAAAACAAAACAAAACAAAACAAAACAAAACAAAACAACTTTCTTCCTGAAAACCTTCACATTTTGACCAAAATCCTGCACAATTTGGAATTGTCCCAACAATTAATTTTTTTGTTTGTTTTTTTTCCCCTTTTTCCCCAGCCCCATCCTGCCCACCAAACAGCCACTATGAGCTCTGCACCCGCACCTGTGACCTGACCTGTGCTGCCCTGGTGGGCCCCACCCGCTGCAGCTGGGGGTGCTTTGAGGGGTGTCAGTGCAACGAGGGGTTTGTCTTTGATGGGGACACCTGCGTGTCACCCGAGCGCTGTGGCTGCCTCCACAGGGGACGCTATCTCAAGGTCAGGTGACAAGGACAGGTGATATGATACCTGAGGCTGGGGACTGGTAGGGTTGGTTTTCTGGGAATCAGGCTGGGCATTGAGCTGCTCCATCTGGAACATTCCAGAGCATTTGGGGTAAAAAAAGGACAATTAACAGCAAAAAGGACAATTGTTGGGTGGGTGGGGGTGGGGGGAAAGATAGCTGGCTGGGGAACAGGCAGGAAAAATGAATTAATGAGACAAAAGGAAGAATTAATGGGGAAATAAGGACAAATAACACCAAAAAATTGTGATTAGCAGGGAAAATGTTACCATTAATTGGTTGAGCTGTCCAAAGTCCCTGAAATCCACCTGAGTTTCTCACTCTCTAAGAGTTCCCCTTTTGGAATTCAGGAAATTTGGGAGATTGTGCTTAACCTGTGAGATTTCCTGTTCCAGGCAGGTGAGACTGTCACCTTCAACAACTGCTCCAAGGAATGCCATTGTCACCCATCACGGGGACTGGTGTGCCGGGACACACAGTGTCCCCAGGACCAGGTGTGCATCACCCGTGATGGGGCACAGGTGTGTGCCAGGAGGGAAGGCCACTGCCGGGTTATGCCTGGAGCCAAAATGACCACCTTTGATGGTGTCACCGGGCCCCTGTTGGCCAGTGGCACCTACAAGGTGTCAGCCCTCTGCGACGAGGAGGCACCGGACTGGTTCAAGGTGGTGATGGAGGTCAGTGACTGTCGTGACGTGAACGTCCCCGCAGCCACAGCTGCCATCATCTTCATCCGCGAGGGCGTCATCAGTGTTAATGGCAACATGGAGGTGTGGGTGAGTGGAGCACGTGAGGAAGTTTTAAGTGGTTTGGGTCAATCTAGAGAGATTTCAGCAAAAATCTCTTTAGATTTTGCCTGCTAGTGAGCTACTTTGTCTGATGTGGAGCGATTTTGCCCGATAATGAGTAATTTTTGCAAAAAGAGAATTATTTTGGTTCTAGCCAAGCTAGAGCCCTTTGCCAAAGAACAAACTGGTTTTCTATCATGTTTTTAATAATTTTCTGTAATTTTCCCAGGTCAATGGCCTCTTCACCCGGCCCCCCACCACCATTTCTGAGTCCATCTTTGTGGCATCATCCCCTGACAATGTCACCATCACCCACTACTCTGGGATGTCCATCACCATCACTCGGAATGGGGAAGCAACCATCACCGTGACCTCAGGCCTGGCCTCCCGTCTCTGTGCCCCCTGTGGGAATTTCAATGGAAACCCCAGAGATGACCTGAAGCTTCCAGATGGACGCGATGCCCAGAGTGTTGGAGAAGTGGTGGACATGTGGAAATCCCGGGATTTTGCTGGATGGTGAGTAATTCCTCAGTAATATATTTACCCCAAACTCCAAGAAAATTATGTTTTCCCACTCAGAAATTTGGCAATAAAGTCAGTGGGTGAGGGGCTGGGCAAATCCTGGAAGGAATTTTCCAGTTTCTTTGGTTTCATTCGCAGCGACTGAGGCAGGATCCTGTGGGAACGATCCGGGTAAGCAGCTGCTTTGCCAAGAAATGAGCCATCTTGCATTACAAGGGGGATTTTTTTGCCCAATAATGAGATATTTTCCCCAACAAGATATTTTGCATAGTAAATACACTTTTTTCCCCCAAAATTAGCCACTTTCCCCCAGGTCAGGTCATCATGCATAATGCTGACCCACTTTTGCACAAAAAGACCCGTTATTTGCATATTAATAATCCATTTTGTATAATACTTCCCTATTTTTGCCAAAATGACCCATTTCTGCCCAAAGTGATGTATTTCTTTCTCTTCCAGCCATATCTCCCACCAGACCCGTCAGGAAGTTGATGCTCCTATCTATCCCATCCCATAGGTGGATCCACCTCAAATTCCCCCAAATTTGGGAAAATTCTGGATTTTACCTCAAATCCATGACATTTTCCTGGATTTTTCTCAGATGGATTAAATCTGTGTGGATCCTAATTCCTTGATGTCTCATCCATGCCCTGGAACCTAGAAATATATCAAATTCAGGTTAAAAAAGATCAAAATCCCAGTATTTTTTCCCATATAAAAATGATATTGCCAAGGGCTGGAGTTGATGCAACAGTCAATAAATGCTTTAAAGGCTTTTTTGGGGTGTGAATTTGAGGTTTCTTTGTTAAGTTGGAAAACTGGGGGGGTTATAATCTCAGTGAGTAGCAATATTTTACCCTTAAATGTAGGTCAACAGGACCCAAAAGTGTACTGGGACCCTTACATGGGGCATTGAGGCCCCAAAGTATATGGCATTCTGACCTCAAAGATCAGGATACTGTGACCCCTAAATTTGTAGCACTATGGCCTCTAAGTGTGGCACATCACAACCCCAAGTATGGGGTGTTTTGACTGCAAATTGTGGGGCCATGTGACCTAAAAATGTGGTGTGACCCCTAAGTGTGGTATGTTAGAGCCCAAAGTGTGGTGCAATAGTATTTCAAAGAGTGAGATGCTATGACCCCAAACTGTGGGGGTACTTTGACCCTAAATCATGTAGTACGTCCAAAATGCAGGATACCAAGACCCACAAGTTGGGACAAAGTGATGCCTATACATGGACCACTGTGACTCCAAAAAGTAAACCACTGTGACATGGAAGTGTGGGGCAATGTGATCCCCAAGTGTGAAGTGGTTTTACCCCAAAATGAAGGGAATTGTGACCTCAAAATGTGGCACAGTACGACCTACCAAGTGTGAGGTCTCTTGACAACAGAGTGTGGGACAATGTGACCCAAGAATGTGTGGCACTGAACCCTTAAAGGTGGGGCACATTAACCCAAACATAGGGTTACCCTCAACTAAGGGGCATTCTGACCCCAAAATATATGGTATTTTGCCCCAGAAGTGTGAGACACTATAGCCTTTAAGAGTGTGGCATTATGACCTCCAAGTGAAGGTCATTGCAACCCCAAAGAGTGGGGCAATGTGACTCCAAAATGTGGGACAATGTGACAGCAAATGGGGGATGCTTCTATCCATAAATATGGGGCACTGTAACCCCCACGTGAGGGGCAGCTTAACCCCAAAGTATAGGATATGATGACCCTTAAGTATGGTGCATTTTGTCCCCCAATTTTGGAACATTTTGACCCCAAAATGGAGGGCAGTGTGACCCCAAAGTCTGGGACAATGAAACCAAAAAGCATGGGGCAACATGACCTCCAAATTTGAGATGTTGCAACCCCAAATTTCAGGGCATTGTGACCCCAGTGTTTGGGGCACTGTGCTCCACAATTACTCCCTCCCCCACCAGTCTCGCCCCTCCATGCTGAATTGCTCCTCTCTCCCTCCCCATCTCTTCTTCTTGTTTCTGCCCCATTCCCACTTGGATTCTTGACCACCCAGACTGTGGGGTGGGGACTCCCAATTCCTTCTCTTTACCTCCATGGGAGCAGGATATCCAGTGTTTGCCACCCTGCTTTGGGAAGTCCCCAAATCTCTGAATTCTTACCTCAAAAATAACCACAAAACCTTGGCATTGGGATACAAAGTTCACAGAAATACAGGAGGACCTGGCAGAATTCTCAAGTATTTCACAACAACTTCGAGACAGCAAAAAGCCCTTGGAATTCTTCTGAAATAAAACTCCAAAAATAAGCACAAGGGTTTTTAACTTTTTATTTTGCCATTTTTTCCCCCTCAAAATCTGGCCTTTTTTGAGAAGTGAAAGCATTTTTGTGGGAAAAGTTGGTATGCAGGTAATTTTCAAGGAGGGTGTCATGGGACTGAAGCTTGTCTGGGGGAGTGGGATGCCTCAGTGTGGTGGGAGGGGTTTGAATTCTTTTGGTGTGACTCAGAGTGGGAGAAGGTCTTGGGGACAGGAGGGGCTGGGAGAGAGGTATGGAACTGGGGGTTGATGTGCTCCAGGTGTGTGTGGGGGGTTTTGGGGTCCCCCAGGGTGGGGGAGGAGGTCAAGGTGAGGGGCTAGCAGTTCTTCTGGGCACTGGAAGTCCTGGGAGCACCGGGAGACAAAACTCAGCTGGCACATTTCAATTAGTATGTTACTCAAATATTCCCACATTCAATCCAGATTCAATCATTATCATGGCATTTGGAGGTTTTGATTTGATTTTTGTATGATATAACAATTTTAAAAGGTTTTTAAAATTGTCTTCTGAATCAAGAATGAATATAGTTGCATTTTGCAATAAGTGTTCTTGTCATCTTCACCGTGATCTCCACATGTGACTGGAATTTTTATTTTGTAAACCTGCTAGTGGTCTTTTTGGTCTTAATTTTTTTCAAATATTAAAGGATTTTCAGTCACTATTTATCATCTGTTTTGAGCTCTGGAAAACCTAGAGTTCGGAGGATGTCTCGGAAGCCTTTTTAGGTTGCTGTGTTGTAAAAGATCAATTTCCATAAATCAAAGGTTGTCTTTTCCTCTGAGACAAATACATTTAACTTTTCTTTAATGGACAAAAACTTCACTGCCACAGAATGGTTGACATTAACTCTTAAATCATCCTCATTTGATAATTAATTGTGTTTCAAGTATTTTTGTAACACAGTCACAAAAGATGCCCAAGTCTTGTGGAGAATAAAAGCTGTTGCTTTAAAAGCATTAGGAGAATAAACTAAAATCCTTATTTAAAAAATGAAAAAAGAGAAGATTCTCTTAAAATAAGACCAGGCAGAGCATGCACATTCCATGTGGTGTTTTGCCACCTGTTCAAGCCAAATATCCTGCAGCAGTTTTCCAGGAAAAAAGCTCTCTAACTCAGAAGTACAGCCAATTGTTTCTACATCAAAGACAAAATGCAGTTAGTTTCTGCCTCAAAATCAACAGTCTGAGGAAATGTCTCCAATTAAAACAAATAAGTCTATCTTTGTTTTGTTGTTTTTATGTACTTTCT